TGGTACAATGGTACTCAGTGGTCCTAGCAGCCCAGTGATTGATGGTCCAATTACCCGCAGTGCCAAAATTGTATTATAGTTTTGAAAATCAGTAGGCTATATAACGCCCCGCCCCGCTGGGGATTCCCAACGTAAGACATGCTCTGGGCGCTAAGGGGCAATGAACCTCTTATTCCATGTGCATCTCATATCACGAAGACGAGGAGGGTGTGGCTGCGTACTTCAGTTGATCATGACCTAAAATGCGCCTCTTGTGAGGTGTTTCTATTGAGACAGAGATGTGACAGATATGTCTGTCTTGTGCTAAACAAACATATGGAATGATACTGAACGTGCAGTCGCCGTCAATTTCAAATGAAGGTCACGCCCCTCCCATCTCTAGCATATAGTATCTACGAACTCTACAACGCGCAGGAGACCGTTTCGAAAAAACGCTCCATGACTTTGAGACCCCCCCCCCTTCTCCAGTTAGTGCATTTTTGTAAACAGAATGTAAACTTCGCCGCCGCTGCACTTTAACTCACTCTTTTTCCCTGAGATGGAGTAGGCGTGGCATTTGAACATATCATAGAATGGGTTACTTTTGAAATATTTCGGTTAGAGACAACTCTCATCTTGTCCTCTGTTCCTGACGACCTTGACATGACCGAAATTGGGTTAAAATGAAAACATCTCACCACTGCCACGTCTAGTTGAAGCCTGTAGCCACGCCTACCGCATCTCAGGGGTATCGAGTCTACCTTCGTGGACATAAGCCCTCCAAAAGCCACTATGAACTACAGACTTGAACTTACAATTAGAGCTCATATCGAGAATACTGGTAATTCACTAGTAAAGAAACATTTCTGAATCGACTTGGAATCACTTGCATGGTCTACACTCGTAGAATACAAACTCGGTGACGAGAGCGAAGTGATCTGAGGGATAGTCGTTGAATCGATGGTGTGGCATCGGCTTCAATGGCTCCGATCCCGAGTACAGAAACGATCGCACCGGTACAATACTGCCTAAAGCAACGTCAGCCTTAATAAATTATGCGTTAAATACGACCCTTCCCCCGAATTTTCTCCTCAGCTACGATTCCTTCCACAACCAGCCAACAATCACATCTCCAAACTTCCCCAAGAATTTGCAGTCGAGGTAAGAGGCGGGGAAGGAGGATGGTTAGGACCTCGGGGCGGAGTTCGGCGACGGGGAGGGGGCATTTTGCACTTTTGCTACTTCCCATCGACGTGTCGACCTATCTAGACAGCCTCTTCTCGAGTTGACAGGTTTTACCATGATGGCTTGACGACCTTGCTCCAGCTTCACAAGAGTTCACAGGTTTCGCCAGAGTGAGACTTGTAAACCGGAACTAGGAAGCAAATAGTACAAAATGCCCCCCCCCCCCCCCCCCCGTCGCCGAACTGCGCCGGACCTCAGCAAGGTGAACTCGGCATCTGGAGTGAAGGAATGACATCATTCATCAGTATTACGAAATACTACATTTGAGGTGCCCATACCCAAGTTGAGAAGGCATGATTGCTCTGGCCAGTGTCCCAGTAAGTATTTCATCTCGGACCCTGTTCTCGCCCACGTTCCAGGTAGTAGAGATGGGGGTTATTGAGGACGCGGACACTAGGACCTGTTGTATGGCGCGCAAATTTCTTCAGGTCGCGAGACAGTGGGAAATATCCATTGCAATAGTCATACCATTTGGCCACTCGTTGATACTCTCGCCTTAGGCAGCGTTCAGACTTGTCGCGCTGCGTAGCGCTGCAGTTGTCGCAATTGCAGCGCTGCGCGGCGCGGCCATGTTCGCGCTGAATGCATGGGTGGAGACAACCAGCTAGTGTGCCTTCCTCACTCGCGCAACACTCCTTTCAATGGCCATAGAAGTGGGTGCCTCCTTATTTCGCCTGGACCGATGCGTCAGGGAGGCAAAATGTTTGACTGTCTCCACCCACATTATCAGCGTGAAGTTCACCTTCAGGCTGTAAGTTAGGGTTAACCGTGAGGTGTGTGCCACAGTTGTTGCAGCCTCTAATGGCACAATTGTTCGGATAGTACTGGACCTTATGTCACACATCTATTGTTACAGTATTTCGACATCTTTCAGTGTCACGTTTTCCAAAACCGTGGTTCACGGAAAAGATTGAATCTCCAAGGTTGTACCTTTATAGTAAATGAAGTCGATACGGTCCTGAGGCTCTGGGATGTTGAACTCCCAGTCTTGTAGAAATTTGTTTACCGTGGACCAAGTATACCCTAAAAACATTTATGAATCATAGTTTAAATCAATGTTTCATCAAATCAATCCAGTCGATGTCGTCAACCTGGGACTTCAGTGACATTCGGGTAGAGCTCACGAAAAGAATCTATCAATCCCATATCCTCGGCAATCTTCGTGGCTGGCCATTCCACCATCCAGTTCCCATGCTCTTCCCTGCAACAAATTCACGATTGGCTTCTTATCACTGAAGATTTGTGGTTGATGCCAATTTCGAATGCGCCAGGTTCTGGGCCAGGATCGCGAAGGCAGTAGGACCAGTGTTTGGTCGGGTTTGCCCTACTGTGACTTGCCCAGCATGAGCGAGCCGTATGTGCTACTTAGAAACCTTCAGCGAAAAAGTGTGCGAAGTGAAACTGAGTGGAGGGCTGGAGTCGAGCCTGAGTGCGATTCAATCCTGGGGACCATGCAAAAAGGCTGAGATTAGGTAAACTCACATGGTCTCATTGGTCCAGTCCATATGTGACGGGCTGTTGAAGTCACCAGTAAGAATCACGGGCACCACTCCGCTTTGGTTCAGCGACTGAATCATCTGTGGGCACTCGCTAATTTCCACCATATTTTGCGCTCTTCCTGTCAAATAAAAAACTATAGTAGACAAGCTCGCTGGAAAAAAGGAGTCTCCTCCGAAGAAGATCATCATGGGCGGCATCTGGCTGCGCCATGCATCAAAAAAAGTGAACCAAAAATTACTTCAGAAGTCTCTTTTCTGTAGCGTTATGCTGATGATGCCCCAGATCCAGGAGGCAAATCGACGCCGCTAGGAACAACAGTCGTAGTTGGCGTTTGTTGGGAGTTGGTGAGGGGATCCCTAATTGTCTTTGGAGAATAATTTGTGATGTTCCTCTGAAATATCAGTGAGTCGTCAGTAGCAGGTATTCCCCAAAGCAAGACTTGTGGCAGCGCCAGCCATCTACACACTGTGCCCATGAAGCCAGATACTGGTAGAAACGAGCCTGAAACCGTGGCCTACAAACCAAGGGAACGCCCCACAAGGTGCTCTGCACCCCTCGCTTGACGACAAAATTTTGAGGAAACTTTGGTAGGGATGGAAGTAGGCTTTGAAAGGGGTCATATGGAAGAAGGAGAATTCCCGGGGAGAGAGGAGGGAAGTCCCCAAAGTTTCCCTCAATGTACTGGTATGTTCTGGCATTGACCGAAGCAACCTTTGCACTCCCTCCGATCGCTGAGTTGAGAGCTCAAGGGCTATCAATTTTAACGACACAACGACTTGTGTCGTTGCTTCTTCATAACCATGACAATAAAATAGCTATCTCTCACAGCTGTTGACAACGGGCTACCCCCTCTGTAATAAATCGCTCATGGGCTCATTTTTTGGTCACTAAGTCACTAGGCTCATGTGCTTTGTTTGCCCCGCTTATCATCTCTGCTCAAAACAACTGCTTGTTCACATTACTGTATGCTATAGCTGCTTACATATTACACTACTCACTGCAAGACCCGGCGAAAAGCGAAGTATTCCGGCAACTTTTCGAGAAATGGGGACAAGCAGTGACAGGTTCTCTGAGGTTTACAGCTGTAGAATCCCTCTAATCCTTCCTTCCTCTTTTGCCCGTCTGTCATTGGTGTTAGAGTTAGACAGCAAACTCGTTCACTGAAAAACACTTACTTAGCGCGATTTGGCGTTTGGTGAGGGGCATTTTGCAAGTTCGCTGGCTGCCCAATGACATAAAGTGGGGATATGTGAAATCTTGTGAGGCCTAGTGAACGTTTTCAGAAACTTTCAAGCAATGATTACGATAATGGGAAAGTGGCGGAAGGGTATAATCCCTCCCTCCCCAGTAGCCGAACAACCTCGAACACTCGACTGAACAATGATCTGTCCCCAAGAACCTCTTTCCTACCCCAACAAGTGCTACATGCCTCGGCCGAGGTCACTCTACGCTTAGGCAGGCTTTACGTCGTGATTTGACGCGATAAAATCCCGCCGTAGAGTCTAATAGTAGTCAAGGGGGTGGCATTTTCGACGTTGGCTAAGTCATGCTATAACATCTATGCCGCATCTGCCCTATGACGAGTGGCCTATCCCGGGGCACACAACGTCACTGTTCCGCTCTGATAAGGGTTTCAATAGTCCGGTGCATGGTGAGGCGCACCCAATGGTGTGGCAATTTGGCGACAAGGAATATCCCGCACTTCACACTGCTCTTTTCGTGGTTTCTCGGCCAGGCGAGAATTTGATTCTAAGTCGGTGAACGAGCTTGCTTGTTGGCCGCATAGGCGACCAAAAGAGCTTGTAGTCGAGATGATTAAGCGCTCCAAAAAAAAACTGACCACATAGCCCGGAGTTGCAGTTATTTGAATTTTTATACTGATGAGCGATTGAGTCTTCGTGTACGACCTGCAATGATCATCGTAAACATCAGGTAAAACCATGAATTCACAAAAACTTGACTGGAAAATATGTGAACTCTGTGACAAAACGAGCCCCACCCAGGTCTCTCGAAGACTTCCATGGATCTAATCAGAATTAGGATGTTTATTCCACGCTCAACGTATGGGTGGAGCCAAGTACAGCAGCGTGTGACCTTCACTGGTGCCCTCCTGCTTCTTAGGTCCTTATACTGGAGAGGGACATTAGTGAGGAAGGCACAAGTCAGGCTCCGCCTAGTTGCTTGGTGCTTTGGCTAGTCTGATTTTTTCAGAGTTGCGATCCCCTGGCTAGAAATTTTTCTGTTCAGTAGGGTATAGTTAATTTTGCATTTTCAGGCGTGTTTTATAGTACCATTTCTCCCTTGTCAGGCTGAAGGGAGAGGAGGGGAAGGCAGTTCTTGGCGCCATCGTAGTTGGTGGTGCCACTTGGCCATGCCTTTATGTCCTTTCGCCAAGCTACAGCTTATGCTTAACGAGGTCCATGTCGTCTGGGCGAGAACGTCCGCTCTTGTGGGCTTCGCCATGGGAAAGAAACAAGGAGATTCCCTCCCCCACCTTGCAGGAGTCATTTTTAGGGAAAAACTTGTGTACTTGGGTTTTGACTTTTGGGAAATTCTCGGAAAAGTGATACAAGGCTCAGGAAGTCGCGAAAAATCCGAAAATTCAGGAAGATAGTGAGTAGAATGAATGATAGGGAAGGTGGAGGGAAAAAGGTCGCACCAGAGGAGGAATTTTGAAGGGGGGCCTGTTTTGCAAAAAAATTCCTCAATGGCAGGACATTACCCCGGCACCCGATTGTCATCCCCTCTACTTTCCCATACTAGGGCTCTTTCCCAAAAAGATTTCGGACTATGAAAAGAAATCCCAGGAAGTCTTTCAAACTAACTCACATCGTGCTTTGTAAGAATAGCAATATCCGGATAGAACTCGTCACCAGCCACTCCAGTCCATGGTGGTCCCAGAAATTGCAGTAATTCCGGTAAAACGTCTGGCCGTTGTACTTCC